AATCGGGATGGGTGTGTCAGAGGCAGTGCGATTGGCACAGGATAGAGCAGGGTTTAGGGCTGTTGTGCATAGGGTCGCTATGATTCGCAAGTGACTCGACGGCACGTAACAACAACAACAACAACAACTCTTGAAAGTAGCCCCCCAGACCTCCCTTCTTAGTCTGTTCTAACCTGGAAGTTCCAGTGAAACCTGCTCACTATAGGTGATCTTGATGTTGAAATGTAGTTTGTCTTGAAGGCTGTGGTCTTTGATCTTCTGCAGCAAGTGCTTCAAGTCTTCACTTTTTTTTTGCAAGCAAAATTGTGTCATCTGCTTAATGCAGGTGGTTGTTGAGTCTTCCTCCTGTGCAGATGGCACATTCTTGCTCATACAGTCCAGCTTTTTGTATTATTTTCTTGTGATGTTTTGTTAGATGATATGATGAGAAAAATGGTTTTGAAAAGATGTCACTGGTTTTATGATGAAGCAATTCTCCAGAATTTTATTTGGAGATTTAAAATGGATCTGCTTTGAATAAAATGGTGTTACAGAGTACATAGTGACATATCATAATTTTCAGAAAAGTAAGAATAAGGAATGTCAGAAAGGGAAATAAAAAAGCCTAGGGTATAAAAATAAAACTAGTTCCAGGACATACAGCCACTAGTGATTTTATATTCAAAGTAAGTGATTTGAAGGGGGAAGTGTGACTACTATAAGGAATGATGGACTAATGCACATCCAAAAACTTCTCCAACAGAGTAAAAAGGGAAGTCACAGACTGGGAAAAAGTATTTCATAATGACATGTCAGATAAGGGATTTATATCTAGAGTTAATAAAATACTTGAGCACCACAACAAGAGAAAGGTAAGTAATCAAACTGAAAATTGGGCACAGTATATGAACAAACACGGCACCAAAGAAGACATTCAGATGGCCAACAAGCACATGAAGAAATGTTCAAATTCCCTAGTTCTAAGAGAGATGCAGATCAAAACAACTATGAGATATCATCTCACCCCATTTAGAATAGCAAAATTTAACAGAACAGCAGGCAACAAATGCCGGCGAGGTTGTGGAGAGACTGGAACCCATATTTACTATTGGTGGAAGTGTAAAATGTTGCAACCATTGTGGAAAGTGTTGTGGTGTTTTCTCAAAAAGTTGCAAATAGAGATACCATTTGACCCAGCAATTCCACTACTGGGAATATACCCTGAAGAGACCATAACCAACATCCAGACATCCAAGTAGATATACATATACCCATGTTTATCGCAGCTTTGTTCACAATAGCGAGGAGTTGGAAACAACCCAACTGCCCATCAGTTAAACAAATGGATAGAGAAGCTGAGGTATATTCACACAATGGACTACTACACTGCATTGAAAAACAAGGAACTCATGCAATATTATTCAAAATGGGCAACCCTGGAGGACGTTATGCTGAGTGAAATATCACAGTCACAAAAGGACAAATACTGCATGGTGCCACTGGTGTAAAATGGGACTGAGATCAGGGTTGGGGTAAGACTGAGAAAAACTGGATAAATTATGTATACAGCATTGAAATAGCTGAGAGAGAGAACAGTTTAAAAGCGATATCTGATAGAGTATTATGGTTATCGCAAGAGTCCAGAATTAAGGTTGCATAGTGGAGTGTACTCAGGGTGGTAGAAGGAGGGTGCGGGGGGATTGTATACCAATGAAAGAATTTTACTTTTCAAAGAGAGGAGTGAAACTGGGCAGGGGGAGGGGTAGGCAGGGAGAAAAGTGCAACAATAAATGAATGGAAATCCAAAATCTCTGTAAATGTTCATTAAAATTAATAAAATTAAAAAAAAAAAAAAAGAATCATGGACTAGGAAGATGATAAAGAAGAAACTAGCCTGTCTGTCTCAGTGCTATTTAGAATGCACTTTTTTTGTAGAAAGTAAGGACAATATTGATGGGCCACCCCAATAGAATGCTTGTCTTTTTGTCTCTGGTTAGCACTTTTATAATTCTATCATTGATGCTCTTTTGGTGGACAGCGTGGTGCCTTTGCCTGTACAACCTGTTATCCATTGAAAGCAATCTGAAGTTAGTTGGCCTTTATTTTTTAATAAGTTATTGCTATGACAAAATGACTACCTCATTTTGTAATTTTTTTTAATAAGTGATTTGCTCACACCAATCATCATCACAAACTTTAAAGACACTTCTTGTTATTTCAGTTTCTTCTTTTTTTTATTTCAGTTTCTTTAAAGCTTATCATTTGTGTATGATCAGTTTGGCAATGAAAGCCAGATATGTGTGCATGTCTGATGAACATGGTTGATTTTTGGGTCTGATTTTAAAGCAAAAGTATATTTTCCTTCTTTGTTGAAACCCAAGGTTCCATGTCCTTAGTAGACTTCTGTCCTTTCTGTCTTATGCAGGGAAACAGTGCTTCTTAGTCCTACGTCAGCAGCAGTTTAACGTTCAGGCTCTTGTGGCTGTGGGAGACCATGCAAGCAAGCAGATGGTTAAATTTGCTGCCAAGTAAGTAAGCAATTATATCCTGTTAGAATAAACAATGGTGGGAACCAAGACTCCCAGGCGTTTGGACCATTTTCATACATTAGCATCAGTGCTTCGTTTGTTTAAAAATGTAATTATTTAAATTGTCAGTTTAGTGTTGCTGAATACATTAAACTTACAAAAGAGAAAACATGGTGTACAGGCTTGAGATTCATTTGGAACTGCTGAAGCAGCACTCTGTCCAGACAAGTCGCATTTACTTTCAAGTAGAGTAACAGAAAGCCTGACGGCTTCCACACAGCAGAGCAGCTTTATTTTGTTGAGTTGGTTGAGCTTCATTTCCTCCCCCCCCCCCACTCTGAGCAACAAGTTTTCTGACTGAATAATAGAAGTGTGTACAGTGAAAAGAATGTAGTTTTGCAAATTTTTCCCTCCACAAGGAAGTGAAAACAAATGCTTTTAACCTTGATGCCAAAGGGGGACCACAAGGCTGAGAGGCATTAAAAAGTGCTTTCTCCACATGAAATCTTGCTGTCTAGTTAAGAATTACTTCAAAAGTACTTTACAGGATCTTGTTCATTTACAAGAAGTGGTTGTCCAAGTGACACTGGAGTGTGGTTGTAAATGCTAGGGCTTTAAAATAATCAAAGTGATTTTACCCGATAGTGAGGTAGGTAGTTTTGTATGTTAGTATCTCTTCTCAATTTAATTGGAGCTTTCTACCATGATAATGATCAAAGAAAACATGAAAAAATGTGGTCTTTATAGTTTAAGAAATTAGTTTCTCACAGGTGTAAATGATTTTTTTGAAAAAAAATTTATACTGATTCATTTACACAGTTCAGATATTTTTTTCCATACAAGATCTTTCCCATGAAACCATCTAGAGCAAATATTTTCTATTTTCCTACTAATTTTCAGCTCTATCCTTTAGGTATATGTCTTTATAGGTGGGTTGATAGAAATGAAATTCTGGATTTCAGAATAGAAAGATACTAGATTGTCTAATATCCTAATTTAAGTTTAGGGAGCTCTGGTGACCAAGCAGTAAGAAGTTGTGCTGCCAACTCAAAAACATGGGGTTAGAAAAAACCAAATGCTCCTCAGAAGAAAGATGGGCAATGTCCTGTACAATTTATTGCCTCTGAAAAGCCACAGGGCTGTCAGCTGTGAGTTCTAACTCGACAGTATACAACAACAATGTATGTTCAGGTCCTCTGGTCCCCAGCACAATGCTGTATATTTAGCAGTTGTTGAGTAACTGATTTTTATTTACAGATTTGATTATTAAATTTTCATGTTATCTTAGGGATCCCTGAACTTAGATTTTTAAAAATCTTGAGCTGTTAATTTGTTGATTATTTTATCATTATCTATATCTGCCGTACTTCTCCTTACTCCTCAGTCCTGATGTTTAGAGAGGGTTCCTTTCATCTCTTCTACCTCATCTACCTTATCTCTCTCGGGAATTAAATTTGCTTGTTCTCATCTCATAGTCTAAATGTTGATGCTTGTTGGATACATTTGTCATCTTGTTACATAGAGTCAAGTCAGAACTGATTCATAGCTGACCCTCTGACAGGTTTTCAATGATTCAGTCACATGGCAAGAGAGTGAGCATCTTTCTCCAGTGGAGGAACTGGTGAATTCAAACCACCTGCCTTTGAGATGACAGTGCAACTTTGTCTCTGTGCTATAAACCAAAAAATACTAAACTTTTCACCATGAAGTTGATTCTAACTCACAGTAACCCTATAGGATAGAGACGAACTACCTTATAGTTTCCTAGGCTATAAATCTTTCCAGAAGCAGACTACTAGATCACAGAGCAATTAACAGGTATGAACTGCTGCCAGGGCTGTCCTATGAATTGAGACATAAATGGAGTGTACTCTTTAGGAATAAACTTTCTGTACACTGAATGCTATAAATAGAGGAGGTGCCTGGAAGCCACAGGCAACTGTGCTAAATTAGATTTAATGTGCTGAAAAATACTGGGGGGAAAAATAAAATTCAGATCAAAACCAAAAAATTTTTACTGATTTTGAGGGGATTTCTTGTTTATTTTGTTTTCTCATTTCTCTCTTTTTTATTGGCTTGCATACAATTATTCATTTACATTGTGTTTCATTCATATATTATGTTTTATACAATCTTTCATTTACATTGTGTTTTATATTATCATTAATATACATTGTATTTAATAGAATTAATTCCTATAGATATATGGATGGCCATTACTGCCCAATCTTTTTGACTCCGCATTGAATCTTTCCTCTTCGGTTGAATTGGTTCTGAACACTAATATATAAAGTGTACAGTTTACATAGTGTGTCTTTTTAATTAATTTGCTTTATAACCTTGGCTTAGTCTAAGACTGAACCTCAGTAACAACATTTGACCATCCAAGCTATCGGCTAGAGTTCACTAGATAAATAAACTATTAGCAAACGTGCTGTCATAGAACTTCATTTATTAATGCCACCATATGTAAAGAAAGACATTCATAACCATGAGATGGTATAGGGTAATCTGTTTAAAACGAAGGAAAGGTTTGGATAAATTAGATTCCCTAATGCCTAAAGTAGAACTCACTCAAGATCTAGATTTAAGTTAGGTTTAACAATTAGCTTTTGGGTTTTGTTTTTTTTAAAGGCAGACTCTCAGTTACTTTTCAGTGCTTAAGAATTTTGGACTTTATATAATTGGTAGTGTGTGTACGCGAAAATACTTCATAATAGAGCTGTTGCAAATTATAAAACCTTTGATTATGTACAATTGAATGGCACTAATTTTAAACAGTAGGCCTAACATGTGGTAGTTAGGTTATAATCATACAGCTTTGGCATTACTCTTGTTAAGGAATCAAGCTTGAATGATTTAAAGTCGATGTGTTAATAGCTTTTGCTACCTTGTGAAAAAGGGGAATTCACAGGACTAAGTCTCTTACCACTCTGGTGGTCTAGTCAGCTCTGGTGGTCCAGTCCATAGGGAGTCACATTGCTAACTGGAAGGCCTCACCTCTCTGCTAGTTTGATGTTCCTTCTTGTTGTACAGCCTTCAAACCCCAGTGGGGGATCAAATGTGAGTCAGTTCCAACTATATGGTAATGAGTGAAAAAATCTCTTTAGAAAAATGAACATTTGGGTTTGGGCTCTGTTGGTAAGAGAATTATCTTAGGAACATGACTTCATGCTCAAATTGAAATTCAGTTTGGCTTATCTTTTTCTTGGGATTTTTAAACTACATCTCTAAATAATACACAAATTCTGGTCCTTTTTGGTGATAAAAGTCTAACAATGTCTTTTCTGAGAGAAAGTCAGTGGTGTGATCATGATCTTTATATCCAGAGTAATACAAATTTAAACAAGAAATTAAAGCACAGAAGAAATTACTTTGTAAGCTCTTATCTACTCTATTTATGAATAGTAATAAATGAAGTGAAGTTGTAATATAAGTCCTAAAAAACTTTTAGAACTTATTTAGGGTGAGGGTGTATGGAATTTTTTTCTAAAAACTTATTTTTAGCTCTGGGCTTACTTAAAGAACAGTGTACCTATTTAAGATAAGTGTACATTGCCACTATTGTGGGGGGAAATAATTTATATTTCTTGATAATAAATAAGCACCTGGTGAACTGACACTTCTATAAAACAAGAATCTCAGTTTTATTTATTAAGTCATAAATAACAGCGGAAAGAAGACATTTCTCTGTGACATTAATAAATGACAAATAATTTTTTTTAGCCTGCTGTGATCTATTCTCTATCACGGTATCTTATAAAAACTTTAAAGCTTGCATTTGCTTTCTTGTTTTTAAGCATGGATGATAATCTGATTTCCAGATAATGCATCAGAAAGAAAAACCATAGTTACATAAAGTTCTTCAAAACCATTGAGAGTGGAGATTTATTTGTGTTTCCAAAAGAATTTTTTTTCAGACTTAGGGATGAATGTTCATTTTCTCCCAAGTTCTTGCTTGCCAAAAGTTGTTGTTTAAATACTAACTTTGTTGTGTGGCTTTTTTTGTTGTTGTTGTTGTTTTTTTATTTTGAGTGAAGGTTTACCAATTCTACTGGTTTTTTATACAATCATTCATAGACATTTTGTTTTATTTTAATGTTGTTAGTCTTAGCTAAAATCTACCATGCCTTTCTGTTTCCAGTGTGACCAATCTTACTGCTGGTTCTAGCACTGTTTAATGTTGTCTAACTTTAGTGGGGGGATAATGACCAAGTTAAATCCAAAACTGATTCCTGTGTTGTGGAAGTGGACACATCTCCACTCTCCAACAGTTTTACAAATTCTGATACTCCTGTCACTTTCATTGTATTCTACTTCAACTTTTTTACAAATTAATTTTAATGAATGTTTACAGAGATTTTGGATTTCCATACATTCATTGTTGCATTTTTCTCCCTTCCCACCCCTCCCCCCAGTTGACTCTTCTCTTTGAAAAGTAAAAGAAAAATTAATTCATTGATATAGAATCCCCCCTGCTCCCACCCTGAGTACACTCCACTGTGCAACCTTCATTTTGGACTCTTGTCTTAACCATAATACCCAATCATATATCGCTTTCAAACATTTCTCTCCCTCATCTGTTTTAATGCAGTATACATAATTTATCCAATTTCTACTTCACTTTTGTGTTTGATAATTCATTGCAGTGGCAACACGGAACTCAGAGACCATACTTAGAGTTAGTTAAATTCTTTCTTAGGGAAGTCTTGGTAAAATTCAGCAACAGAATCAACCATCTACAGCTCAGGAGGCATGCATGCATCTTGAGATCAGGAGGCATGCATGCAAAATCTTTACACTTCCCTTTAGTTATCCAGGACAGCTCTTTCAGCTCCTCTGTCTGCAGACAAGCAGGACTTTGTCAACTGTTCAGACCTCCTCTCAACTCCTTAGAACAAGTGTTTATCCTTTCAGTGGGGCTCAGAGCCTTCAGCTTCCCCTTATTGACCTCTCAATTTCTAACTGACCCAGGTCATTGCCACTGTAGCAGTTTTCTT